TGACATGTAGAGGTTTCGAATGCAGCCCGAATTGCAGCAGAGTTTCATCCGGGAGTTGCAGCTCGTTTTGTGTGTGTGTGTGTGGGTGTGTGTGGGTGTGTGTGGGTGTGTGTGGGTGTGTGTGGGTGGGTGTGTGTGTGTGTGTGTGTGCGTGCATGTGTGTGTGTGTGTGGGGTGCGTGTGTGTGTGTGTGTTTGTGTGGTGTGCCTTCCTCCTGGTTCCACACCCTGAAACCCTACATCCCAGACCGACAAAACCCTGTGTAACGTAGACCACCTTTAGGGTGCACCGTGCTTCTAATTTACAACCCTATTTCAAATCGAGAAACCGCTGTTTCAACGGACCGATGGTTGAGAAAACACATTCCACATTTGCTCCAAATGTGGATGATCATAGGGATTCAAATATGATTGCCATTAAAGTCAGGGCTTTATTAACAACACACTCAGGGCTTCCGATGCTACACTGCCCTATGTCATAAGAGCCCTCGTTCAGGTACTCGATCTCTGAGGTCATCGCTGAAACGAAGGTCGGCCTTGGGGAGGAGAAAAACGGCAAGGCCACAGTGGCCACGGCGGCTCCTGTGTTACAAGAACCAGTTCTTGAACAGTAGTGTTTAGGGTTTGACAATATTTTAGGCTTCGGGTGTGGGCTTAACAGCTTTGTTCGCGGGGTTCTGTAAGTTCCTGATAGTTTCAACAACGAGCAAGAAACCCCGCTGTGGGATTTCGGAATCTCGAAGGTCCGAAGACCACAGCAATGAAGCTTGGTTTGCAACAGCGATAGTCTTGATCAGTTCTTGCGTGGGCGAGAACCGCACATGGCCCAGGATGAAGAAACTTCAGGTAATTAACGGTTAGGGCCAGGGATTAGGGGGCTTCTGCGCAGCACCGACTGCCATGAACTGGACTCAAATCTGCTGGCACATCACTCGGTCACGGCCTTGTTTCCCCCCTGACCCGACGCAGTTTCGCCTGTGCGTGTCTGCATCCGCCAATCAAGCACATGGCACCGAAATCTCACACTTTCGGCTGCATTTGTACATCATACGTCTCTACTCTGCTCAGCCACGTTCGGGCATAGCTTGGCTGTTGAAACTTAAAATGTGCACAATCATTGGATGATTTATCTCCAGAGGGCCATCAAATGAAGCCCGCTTCTTCCATGCTGGAACTTCAACTGTCCGAATCCTTCTCCAGCACGGGCTGTCCGGGAACAAAGAGCTCGGCTCCTTTGTCAATCAACTGTGCAGAGGCGCTGATTTCCCTCATCCACTCGCCGGCACTGAACCGGATCTTGACACTACATAGAACCATCACATTATGCTTGTCACCATCTGCGTTCATCAACTCAGGCGACAACACCTCCTGAAACTTCTCGACAGGAACCTCGATTTTTGCGACGTACCCGTCGTCGATGCCCCCTTTATCCTTGTTGTAAACGTACACGTTGATTCCATCTTGTGGAATGTAATCGTCGAGGATGGCTCTGTCGTGCCAGCCGTACTTTTGCGCTTTGACGATTGATGTCTTGACCGACTTGTCCTGAGTCTCGTTCTTTACTAGCAGGCCCAACATAAAATCTCCAGGCCAATCACGAGTTTCCATGGGCATTTCAAAGATGACTCTCACCCTTATGGGGCCCTTTCCAGGAACAAGCTCATGGGCCTCATCTTCGGAGACTTTCTTGCAGCACTCCATCATGGACGATCGGGCTGAGGGCAAAAGCTAAAGCAAGGCAGGCAGGAGCCGAAAGCCGTCTGCGGTGGATGTCTAGGTCCAGTCACTGCTTGTATCATGTCTCATCACAGCTGGATATCCAGAGGAAGCGCAGCCGGACGGTCATGCGGAAAGTAGAAATTCTCTCGCCGGTTTCGCCTGGGCAGTCGAAGCCGAAACAAAGAGAAGCATGCGACACATTGCGACGATGACGATACAGTTACCCTGACAACGCCTTGGCAGACATGGTGCAGAAATTACTGTCTGAAACAGACCAGCCCTCACTCCAGAACTCGGGGTACCGAGCTATCCTCAGACTGGGGACCCATATCCCTGCACTTCGGCAGTTCAAACCCTTGCAAGGTCTTTCCCAATCCTTTGGCGATGTCCTCATCGGATTTGTAGTGCAAGTAGGTATGCAAGCCAGGAAGGCCGTCTCTCTACCGACTTACCACGAAGATGCAGAACTTCTTCGACGGTGCGGAGGTCCGTTGACCGGGGCCCTCCGAAAGCTCCAAGATTCTTCGAAGACGTTTCGACTGGCAGCTTTCCGGAGTCGGGGTAGGGACCGCCACCCGAAGAGCACCCGAAAATGTCCACCAACCATTGCTCCCAAAGACCCAAAGAAGCCAAAGTCCACAATCAGCCCGAGTGCAGGGATCAGAGCTAAGGGCCTTGGAGCTTTAAAAGCTTTCCCCCCAACCTCACAACTCGACAATCCCAAACCGTCTTTGGAAGCAAGCTGTCCGCATGTCCTGCGAGAGCCAGGAGCCACGACCGGCCCGGTTGTTGGCTGCGCGGTGTCCACATCCCTGGAGCCAAGGAGAAGGGCTGCAGGGGGGGATAGGGGCGTGTTGCTGCGGTTTAGGGTTTCCACTTCGTCGTCCTCGTCGTCGTCTGCCTCCTCCTGATCATCATCTCGAACTCATCTTCCTTGCCACCATCACCATCTTAGCATCTGCTCTGTGGCACCATCAGAATCGTGACCTAAGGCTCGTCGACTTAATTCTCCTGAAGCAGGGAGAGACGGAGTGGGGGAGGGAGAAGGGAGAGTAGGCGGGAGATGGGAGGGGAGAGGAAGCAGAGACGAGGGAAAGAGGAGGCAGAGAGGAGGGAGAGAGGAGGGAGAGAGGAGGGAGAGAGGAGGCAGGGAGGAGGGAGAGAGGAGGGAGAGAGGAGGAAGAGGGGAGGGAGAGGGCAGGAAAACATGTGACGAGAATTGCTGATCGAAAACAGGTTTGAGGGCTCAACAATCGATCGACTAGTCTGGTGCTACTTTTTGCCTGCCTGCATTTATCTAAATGCCATAATTTGGCTGTGAGTGGGCGGGGGAACGACTCAAACTTTCAAACCATTGCCTTGATTCAGGACGGAAGTTAAGATGATGATCGCTACAATCACCGCTACAGGGATTGGCGATATTGAGCCCTCAGAGCCCTCAACCCTGAACCCCTAAACCACATGAAGCCGTCTACCAGAAGCACGTCCCCGCCCCCTCCTCCCGGCCTTCGGCTTGAGGCCCTTTCAAGGCGATCGATGGAAGGGGCTTTGAGCAGATCGGCAACGTTTCAGACGTCCAACCTCATTCTCTTGAGTTTCCAAGAACTCTTTGGACTTTGGGCTTGGAAGCCTTGGGAGAGGTTCCAGGGCAACAGAGTGAGGAAACTTGAAGGAACAACACACTGCTAACACGAAACTAAACCCCGAAAAAGGCGTTTACCTTTGCAGCCCTATTCCATGGACCCCACTCCGTTTAGGTTTCAGTCCCAACAAGAACCATATATCAGTAGATCCTGAACCCCTTAACCCCAAAGCGCATCCACGAATCCTACATCCCTAAACGGCCCTAAGCCCTAGCCTGCACGACTTTTGCTTCGCGCAGTCGAAACACGGCAGGCTTTACAAGGCCAAGGCGCGCCTCAGATCGTGTCGATGCCCAAAGGCGCCACCCCATTGCTTCATTACTAGGATGTGATAAGAGCTTTACAAGGGTTCTGTAAGCAAAGGCTTGATGACCATCATCCAGGAAGCCCAACATCTCTCTCCTCCTTCCGGTGTTTATGATCAGTCTGTCCTTTGCCTCTTCTTGACGGTTCAGAAAAGCTTAGACTCAGACATTAGTTAACGTGGTTCCTTCGTTGTTGCTATATCATGGTCATGGCCCAGGGCTCTTACGAGTAGGAATTACTTTAGACATTCAACAGTTTCTCAGCACCCCTTAGGAGCCTGCGGGTGTAGCATCCAGGATCTGATGATGCGCATGCGTAGATCGACAAGTCGCGTGGCCCTGGGTCTGACCTCTCTAGAGGTGTCCCAAAAGGCCCCACAAATTAAGCTAGTCTGCAGGCTGTGTGCAATCGAAGGTGCAAAGGGGTTGAACAAGTAAGTGTGACCCCGATGTTGTACTTGCGCGTGTATATCTGTGTCTGCTTTATACATTGATGCATTTGTATATCTATGTCTATGTTTGATACATACAGGCACGCATACTTGTACAAATTATATGCTTATGTGTATACGTAAAAGGATGTACGTTTTTCCTATATGCCTGTATAGATGTCTACATGTATGTGTGTGTTTATATATATACACACAGATACATACAAAGACACATACATACAGACGTACATACATACATGCGTACATGCATACATACACATACACATACAAATACACATACACAAACACAGACACAAATACACATACATATACATATACATATACATATACATATACATATACATATACATACACTTACACATACACATACACATACACATACACATACACATACACATTTACATACACATACACATACATAGACATACACATACACACACACACGTACATATATACATGCATACATGTGTATACATGTGTATATATATATATGTATATATACACGTAGAAATTAATAAATTCATGTGTCTCTGTCCGTGTGTGTGTATGTATGTATGCATGTATGTATGCATGCTGTACACACACATATGTACATATATATATATATATGTATGTATATGTATATATGTATGTATTTATGTATGTATGCATGCATGTATGCATGTATGCATGTTTGCACGCATGCATGCATGCATGTATGTATGTATGTATGTATGTATGTATACATGTGTGTGTGTGTGTGCGCGTGCATATGTGTAGTGTTTGTGTGTACGTATACGTATACTTATCGTACATGAACAAGTATATGTATATATACATATATATATATACTGATTGCAGGTGTAAGCATGCATACATATATACATATATATGGAGAGAGAGGGAGAGGGAGGGAGAACGAGAGAGAGAGAGAGTGTGTGTATGTGTGTGTGTGACAAATTACAGAATGCTACTACTATAGTGTACACTTATATATATATATACATACATATATATATCTATATACACACCGTAGATATACATAAATATGTGTACGTATATAATACACGTACACATACATTGCTTCTGTATCCATCAAAGACATATGAAGCTGAGATCCCCTCTCTTCAAACCCGATCTTCAGCACCTCCGGCAGCCTTGCTGATCGCCCCGGAGATCCGCTTCGAGACGAGTCGTCTCGTTTAAAAACCATCCGTTGGGAGGCTCGCTCTTGCTGGATCAGGCTGTCAGGCTTCAACCTTTCAATTAGTGGTCAGTGGCCTAGTGCAAGAGGCACTCAAATTTTTGGGAGTAGGAAGGCCATAAGAGAAGCTCCCAAGGCGGTCGAAGGTTCTTTGGAACCTCCCGAGAAGTCGTCAACGAAGCAGGGGGCGATGCGCGCGGAACCTACCAGAGGTGCTCAAGCCTGACGTGTCTCTGGGCTTTCTCAGACCCTATTGATCCTAATGGCCTATGCCCGGAGCTTCGACAAGAACGCAAACCAGGCTGAGAACCATGGAGGAAGCCTTCGGGAAAGAGTTCCTCTCTGCCCCAATATGTCTAGGCATTGCAAGCCAGAAACCCCCCAAAGTCTTCAATACAAGCCCTCTCAAGCTCAAACTCGCCGCCTGTCCCGCAACCCAGAGTCACATCAGTGAGCAATTGGGCTTGTTCGCAGTGCAGGCGAAGCATGAAGGATTGCTCCTGCGCAGAGCAAACAGTTCGGAAAGGGGAAAGTCAGGTCGGCACTTGTGCTTGACAACACGGTGTTTGGAGGTGCGACTGGTCCGTTTTCTCAAATTACTAGGATGGGACAATCACACAGGACTATCAAACAACTTGTCAGCTCGTGCCTGTGACTGGAATGCTGATGGTATTGACAGCGACGGCGACGATGACGACGACGACGCCATTGACACTCCATTGCCCATGGGGGGTTTCGGCGTTATCTGATAAAACTTGTCGGCCCTGTCATAGCCATCTCCCGACAGCACATCTTCCTGGTCCTCATTGCAACTGAAGGCCATTAACCCTCAAGCCTCGACCCCCTGCGTTCTTCGCAGCTTCGCTGGACTCATTTCCCGGAAACCCCTGCCAACCCAGCACAACGAAAAGGCAGCCCAGGCACTCGTCTGGACGGGAGTTGAAGTTCCAGCTCATCCTCGGCTCACGGACTATGTCGGTGGTTTCTGTTAAGGATTCAGGCTTCGAGGTTTAAGCTTCATTTTTTCAGTTTTGGGGATTGGGGTTAAGGATATTCAGCGTTTGGTGTATCGGGTTTCAGGGGGCGGGTTCTCGTCACAATGGTCACGGTAACGATTCAAAGTCATGCCCAACGCCTCCTATGCACGAAATCCATGCAACCAGTGAATGCGCCATGATGTTGAGCCACACAAACCTTCCTTCAGCCCGGCCCACCCACAAGGTCCTTAGCGGAAGGGGTGCTCCACGAAATGCAATGTAATTCTTGTCAAGGGTCATAGGGCTCATGCCATTCGACCGGATCCTAGGTCTTATCCTCGCAACCTGAGAAAAATAATGCATAGAGCCCAAGACTCAATACGTGCGCACTCTCGAGAAAGACAGCCTAGACAGCCTTGGCCAAA